CATGAGACTCGACCAATCGAACCAGTTACAAACCAGTCGTAAAAATCCGCAATTATTTTTGCGAAAAATATCACCTCAACCAGGAATCGAACCTGGATCTCCTGCTTATCGGGCAGATATCTTATCCTTTCGATCACAAAGGCATGTGATGATATTTATCGCAATAATGTGTTTAGAATAACACGTCAACAATTCAATGATACATACATATATATATATTCATTACAGTATACATGTATTCTCGAATCCCCATAACCCCGTTACTCCAGAGAGACGATAGTTCTATATATATATATATTTATTGTACCTTCGGCTTTCGCCAAGAAGCGGGACTTGGTTTACAAATAAGGCCTTAAGACACTCATCCCTCCACTCCTATCCGCGCATCCATCCATAAATCTAAATACTCGACTTCCTAATTCTCGCCACGACTTATACTTATACTTAATTAATGCCTAGGCATTGCATTGTGTCCCTTCCAATCACCCTACTACATTAAGTACACGAGATACATAAAATACTATACCATATATAACATAACATCACGTATACATAAAATACATATAATACATAACATACATAAAATATATAGAAAACACACCTTCATATACCCATACCCTTGCATCTCTCTCTCTCCTCATCAGCCTTCCTACTCTTATATCTCTCTTTCTCCTTCCAAAATTTTACTAACACTTTTTCTTTCCTCTCATCCAAGCTATCATTCTCCAACCTGCTTATTCTTTCCTCTACGCAGTCTCCCAGTTCCTCAAACCAGTCTTTTGCTATTTCGCATTCTCCTATAAAGTGTATTAGGTTATCCTGCCCCCTCTCACAGAAACTACATTTTCTCTCTTCCTCTTTTAACCAGTACTTATTATCTATTTCCATATTTCTACACCTTAATCTCATTAATGCTTTTTTCCTTCCCCCTTTTCTTTTCCTCTCACTTCATTTACCTCTAAATAGCTAGGTGCTTTATTCTCGATCATAAACCTTCTATACCTTTTATTATATTTTGCTTCCCTAATCCTATGTTTCTCCTCCTGACGTTGTACGT